TAGTTACATAGTATTTGAGGTTGAATAAAGACATTAGTCCATCAAGTCCAACCTATTAGGATCTAATTCTAGGAGTACCTGTACCCCTGTATATTATGGTCCCTTAAGAAATCGTCCAAAAGTTTATTGAACAATTCCACAGTCTTCGCTGAAATCACTGCCTGTGGCAGTGAGTTCCAGACCCTAACTGATCTTACTGTGAAGAACCCCCTTCGCCCCTTGTGCTGGAATTTTTTTTCCACCAATTTTAGGTGATGGCCTCTAGTTTTTGTAATGGAGTTATTTTAAACAGTTTACCGCTAATGTTGCTACCACCATTGCACATTTTGTACATGGAAATCATATCCCCCCTTAATCTCCTCACCTCCAATGTGAACATGTTTAAATTTAGTAGCCTTGTCTCGTAGCTCTGGTCCTCCATACCCCTAATTAGTTTGGTTGCCCTCCGCTGGACTTTTTCCAACTCAAGGATATGAAAAGTGAAAACAGGATCAGATTATCTCAGTATAGAAATGACATTAGCGAAAAATAAGCATACTGTGAGTGGGAGAGGTTATGCATGACTGGCCAATGGCTTTTTTTGTTTGCCAGTGTCCAAAACTTCCAGTAGATGGCAGTATAACCCACTTGTCTCAGATTAACTGAATCTTGTGTCCCTTAAAGGAGAACTATGGGGTCAGTGTTTTTCCCCATAGCTCTCCTTAGGGTAAAGGGAGGACACAAACTAGCGTCCTCCCGTTACCTCCGACCTGTGACAGTCTCATTGTCACAGGTCAGCTAGAACTATGAGGTGAGGGGAAATCACTCATCTCATAGTTCTCCTTTAATGAGCAATAAAGAAATTACTATTTCAATATCCAATTATTATTTGGATATTGATTTATAAGTAACTTAGTATTATTTTTGTTATTAGTTGTACAACACAGATGCACATTGTTATGACCGTGAAGCTTCCAGATGCTGTATATTTTTAGATATATGCAACTAACACAATGAGGTTGATTTACTACAAAAGTAAAGCATGTTGAAGTGAAAAAAGTGAAAAAATCATACCACAAAGATTACCTTATTTTGTACAAGAAAAATAAAACAAAACAATATTTTTGCTTGCATGTGAGTGGATGATTAAAGTCAGCAAATTCATTCACTAACCTAGATTAATTTTCTCTATGCAAAGAGGTAAAGTTGTGCTGACTTCCATCATCCAATCTTGTGCAAACAAAATGTTTGTTACTTTTTTGGGGGCATGGTTTCAACTTATTCACTTAGATAAGTTACAATTCAATTATACAGTAAACATACTCTACTCCTTTAGTAAATTGACCCCATTGTGTTAGTTGCATACATCTACAAATATGTCTAGAAGCTGCACAGCCATAACAACACGCATCTGCATCATACATGTTGTAATCTACAGTAAACACTTGTATTTGCCTAAATTATAGATGTTTTCACTACATAGAGTAGAACTACGTCATCCTAAAGTGCCTTGCAATGGCCATGCACCTTCTACAAATATTTGCAAATGTAAGTAAATAAAACCCTTATTTTGAAACTAGAGTATTTTTAGACATGTTTTCTGAGCTGATTGGTAGGGTATGTATTGGGAATTGTTTTTAGGAAATCAGGATCATTGTACTAAGCATGGATACCAAAATGAAGGATGTGCATTCTATTTAAATGTATGGACTTAAAGGGTCACTTTATTGTTATTTGATAAAAATGCATCTAAAATAAGATACATAAAGACTCCAACACAGTCAGTTCCAAGGATGTCTAAGATGCTGAATGGTCACAGTTCACACGTGTAGACATTTCTAATATAATTTTGATCATTTACAGAAAGAATGTTATTCCTTATATAACCCATACATGTTCCTAGTGTTGTAAAAGTAATTACACATTTTATAGGTTGTCTGCAATAACACAGAAATATCTTAATTTATTTATGTCTTATTTACAGAATAAATCCAATTATACCAGGACATTAAATAATTTAAAGTCTTATTTTCCTTGTAATATAATAAAGGATGTAATATGCTTTAATGTGATCTGGGAAGTCTTAAATGTCTTCTAATATCCTGTTTTCTACAAATATTTGTTTTCATGTATAACTCTGTTATTATCACATTAAGTTTAGGATTAAGCACCTACCACAGCTAGTTTAAACTGTTCTGTCTGTATCTTGATAGGCATCTCCAGTTTCCTCCCACGAGGCTGCAGCATGGGTACCGTATTGGTTTCTCCTGATAAGATTTCTATGTCGTCTTCATTTACAGTATCTTCAAAAATTGGTCTCAAGAAACCAAATGGCAAGATCAGAAGTAGTAAAATGCAAGCTGATTGTTTAGCCATTCTGTCACTGATGGTCTTTCAAACTGTTTGTCCCTCTCAGGATCTTATGTTCTTAACCTAGCTATATATTAATCCTGTTCAAACATACCTTGTGCCCTCACAAAATTGCAAAAAAGCAGGATCCTAAAACAAAGAAAAATTATCTCTCTCTCTCCCCCTCCTCCTCTGTATCTCTCTTTCTCTCTCTCTCTCTCTCTCTCTCATCCCCCTCTCTTCAGTTTACTCCTTATGTACTCTCACCGCATAGAAAAAAGCACACCTTAATGACTAGACCTGATAAACAAATGTCATGATGCGCTTATTCCCTTATGGGAGAAGTTACACAGCCATATGTCAGTGCAAGTTCCTATATCTTCTATTCTTGCAGGCAGGGCTGTAGCTACCATGGGGCGAGTGGGGCACTCGCCTCAGGCGCAGCTGAGAGGGGGCGCAGCCGGGATCGGCCTGGCTGTGCCTCCTCGCCCTGTTGTCATGGCGACCACAGGGCACCATAGAAACAGGAGAGCCAAGTGGCCAACACAGCCGCGGCTCATCAGGGAGGAGAGAGGCGGCACAGGCTCCAACTTCTCCTCGGATCCCTGCTGCTCTACCCCTCATGTATGGGCAGAGGCAGCAGGGATCAGATGAGAAATGGACCTATTCAGCCGGCAGCTCTCTCCTCACTGCTCGGCCATCCTGAAGTGACAGCGTGCCTCCCCCCCCCACTTCAGGAGTGGGAGGATCGGTAAATTTCAGCTGATCACTCCAGTGTTTGTAAATAACTGGGGACACATAGTACCATGTCCCCAGTTATGAATCCCCAGTTATGAATGAACAGGAAGTGCTTTACATTACTTCCTGTTTGTGCGCAGCGTTGGGTGACATCACACATCTGTTGGGGGGGCACAATTTTCTGTTCTTGCCTTGGGCGCAAAAGGAGCTAGCTATGGCTCTGCTTGCAGGCTCCATTTTAAAACCACAATCCAGGAAAAATGATCATTTACACACTACATTATCATTAAAATGCTGTGTGTAAGGTGCCAACTGGACCAGTGACAGAACTAATCCCATAGCCACCCATGCAGCCGCTATGGGGCCCAAGGCAGAGGGGGGCCCAATCAGGAGCAAACATGTCAAGTACAAGTGAACTGGCTGGGTGCACAGTCTTCGACTGTCCTTCCCCCCTTTTGCACCCACACCATGGTTTTTGGTGCCCTGCGCTCCTCTGGTAGGCCCAGGACCACAGAAAATGGTGTCAGTCTGTTCCTTGATCTGCTCTGCGATCAATGAAGCAGGAAGAGCTATGCTCTTAGCAGTGCCGGATTTCCCACAATGGCATCAGGGAGTAGAAAGGCAGCAGGGGTGTGGAATTCCTATCTCCCGAAGCCCGGGACATGCAGTTCCGGGCGGGTAGTTGTTTTCTACATTTAGCCCTGCTTTGTGCAAGCAGAGCTAAATGTACAGCGGGGAAGCCGCTTGTTTTGTGATCTTGGCAATGTCGCCTAAATCATTTGTATGCAGCCTGCAGGT